AAGTCAAGATATATGACATCAATCTCTTCTCCCTTGTCTAGGTGATAGGTCACCTGGTTGTAAAAGGAAATGAGATTGGTCAAGCAAGACCTACCCACAACAAACCCATGCTGGCTATCCCTCAGGATGTTGGCGTCAGCCAGCCCATTAAGGATGGCCTCTTTAACAAACTCTTCTAAGATCTTCCCTGGGACAGAAGTCAGGCTGATGGGCCTATAGTTTGCCAGATCCACTTTCCTCCCTTTCTTGAAGATAGGCACCACATTAGCCTTCTTCCAGTCTTTGGGCACTACACCAGATCGCCATCTTCATCCAAAGATGCTGAAGGAATTGGCCAGTCATAGTACAGCTGCTGTCACGGCTGTTCAAGCACTCATGGTCCCAGAGGGCTGGAAAAGGGCCAGTGTAGTCCCTATTTTCAAGAACAGGAGGAGGGGCCAACCAGGAAACTATAGGCCAGTTAGTCTCACCTCTATCCTTGGGAAAACTCTGGAAATACCATTAAGGATCACATTTGTGGGAGCCCAGCACGGGAAATAATGCTGAAAGGAAAAATCAGCATGGGTTCACTACAGGTAGATCCTGCCCAACTAACCTTGTTTCTTTTTATGACCAGGTCACAAAATACTTAGATGCAGGAGTTGAGGTAGGTGTCATCTATCTAGACTTTAAGAAGGCCTTTGATATGGTATCACATTCCATTTTCATAAATAAACTGACAGGTTGTGATGTAGAAGATTACACGGTCAGATGAGTGTCAAACTGGCTTAGGGGTCGCACCCAGAGAGAGTGGTGGTGGATGGGTCAATGTTGACCTGGAAAGACGTGGACAGTGGAGTCCTGCAAGGCTTGGTCCTTAGACCAGTGCTATTCGATGTCTTCACCAGTGACTTGGACAAGGGCGTAGAGAGGACCCTGTCCAAGTTTGCCGATAATACCAAATTATAGGGCAAAGTTAACACAGCAAAGGGTAGGGAACAGATGCAGGTGGATCTGGACCGGTTGCAAAAATGGGCAGAACAAAATAGGATGCAGTTCAATGAAGACAAGTGCAAAGTGCTGCACCTGGGCAAAAAGAACCACCAGCACACTTACAGGCTGGGGGATGACCTTCTCAGCAGCACAGCAGCAGAAAGGGATCTTGGAGTCATAGCTGACTCCAAGATGAACATGGAGTCATCAATGTGACGAAGTGATCAACAAGGCTAACCAAACTTTATCATGCATTAACAGATGCATGACAAACAGGTCCAGGGAAATGACACTTCCCCTCTATGCAGCACTGGTCAGACCACAGTTGGAGTACTACATCCAGTTTTGGGCACCGCACTTCAAGAGGGATGCAGATAAATCTTGAAAGGGTTCCAAGGAGGGCCATTTGTATGGTCAGAAGCCGGCAGGCAAGGCCCTACAAGGGGAGACTGAAGGAGCTAGATCTTTTCAGCCTTCACAAGAGAAGGCTGAGAGATAATCTTGTGGCTGCCTATAAATTCATCCAGGGAGGGCAGCAGGGAATAGGAGATGCTCTATTTACTGGCAGATGGTCACTACCCGCGCCAGGGCTGCCCGAAACGTGGCACTACCAGTTCCTCCAGTCCAACTGGAGAACAGGTACGAGGCCCTAG